CCTCGCTCACCACATTGATCTTTGTTAGGGAGCATAGTCTATCAAAATTATCAAAATGATCTAGAGGATCTTCAAATGGCAACCCATGGAACTTGCTGCTCTGAACCATTGAAATCAATCCAGGCTTGATCTCAAAGTTGTTGTTTTGGACTGCTGGTGGAATGATGCCAGTACTGTTGTTGTAGGCATTTGGTGCATCACCAGCGCCAATGGGTCTAGCTTCTCTTGGAGCTTGTGCAGCGCCTCTTGGTCCTTGCTTACCTTGTAAGCCCTGAACACCTTGATGTCCTTGTATACCCTGAGCGCCAACAGCTCCTTGAGGACCCTGGAATCTGATATCATCAATAACAGGTTCCTGATTCTTCATCCCAGTCTCTGCAAGTGTTCCTGCCTTTCTTCCTGTCTTCTTGCTCTCTGACCTCTGTCCAACAGATTAATGTTGTCTATGAAGTCTACAAGATTGCTTGAACCTCTGGATCTTAAGTTCATATACCTGAAAGACAGCAAAGAGAGTCAAAGGAGATTAGTAACCAAAGAAAACTAAAAACTTGATCTTAAAGATTTTACAAACTCTAATGTTTCAAACTATAAACCCAAATGGCAACGGCGCCAAATTGATACAGAGGTTTTTAGGTCTCAATCAATCACCCCTCTATGTGAATCAATTGTAGTATAGCAAGGATTTATATCAATCCAAATAGGTTTGTTGAAGGCAATAGAGTTATAAGTAAAAATCCTTAAGTCAAGCAAGCATAGAAGGCTTTTTGTTGCCTAAGCAACCAATTTATCACTCTAAGATGATCAAGCAACAAAGTGAAAAAAGAAAAAGGCAATTTAAACAAGATTAAGTAAGCAAAACTGAGCAAAACAGAGCAAATCCGAAATATATCAAAGGATAAAAGCAAGTTCCTAGATGTGGTTATTGACTTTGGGTAATTTAAGAACTAATTAAGGTTGTTTCAAACAGCATTGATCAAGCAAACAAGCTAGCAATGGTGATTCCTAGACATATAGTTCACAATCAAGCAAGCTAGATCCAATTTCTTGTGACATAGCCCTTTGCTAAACATCTTAACAAGAACTAACTCTCATTAGTGTCAAAACATTCAGCAAGCATTAATAAACAACTCTATTCAAGTTAAAATGCTCCTCAAACAGTCAATATCTTGAGCCAAGGCCAGCAAATCCTCTATTAAACAAGATCAGCATTTCATCAAACACTTGGTGGGCATAAGAGAAAGCCTAAATTCAAGATAAGTGAGATCAAGAAAAATCTAGTTTAAGAACAGATCAATAGAGAGGAACCCATATAATGAAGTGCTAGACAAACCTTAATCAATCCCTAATTCCCTTTAATCTACCACATCTAAGAACCCTAAGCAAACAACTCACTTATACTCATGTTTAACACCAAATCACAAGAGGAAAAGATGCTAATAATGATTAAAAGAAAGATTAAAGAAAGATTAAAGAAAGATTAAAGGCAAATACCAACTTATATTAAATAAAGCAGAGATTTGCCTTACAAACTCAAAGAAAATGCTTAAGAACAGTAAATTGACATGACTTCTCGAAAATTCCAGAAAAGACCTATTTATAGCCAAAAGAAGGAAGCCCTAGAGTAATGGCAAAAGTGTAAATAAAACAGGCTCTAACTGGGTTCATATCGATCAGTTGTATCGGTCTGGGCTTGATCGATACGAATCATATTTGTCTAGAAAGTGATCGATACAGTGACCGCAATATACACGGTGCATTTGTATCGATCACTCCTGACCGTTATCCTTGATCGATACTGCTTGTATCGGTCACTCCTTGACCGATATTCTTGATCGTTACGCCTTGTATCGGTCACTCCTTGACTGATATCCTCCGTGCGCAGACCGATAAGCTCTGCAGAGATCGTCTGCCTTGGTCCCTTTTGCTCCTTTTGACCCAGATAGCTTCCTGGATCATCCTCAAAGCTCCTCCAAGCTCCTTTTAGCTTCATAAGCACCTAAAACATCCATAATGCAAGAAAAAATGCAAACTAAATCCTAAATGCAACCTAAGTCTGAAAGGAGAAGAAAATGGGACAAAAGCTAAGGAAAACATGCAAAAGAGAACCAAAACTTGTACTAAATAGAAGTCTAAATGGTGTAAATACAAGAGATATCACTATGCACCAAAACCACTTTGAGATCAAGCTTGGGTTAATCAACATGGTGCAAGGCAACAGATTTCATGGCCTGCCCGATGAAGACCCTTTGGATCATCTGGATCAGTTTGATAAAGTGTGTGGTATGAAGAAGATTAAAGGAGTCTCTGAAGATGCTTTGAAGCTGCGTCTGTTCCCCTTCAGTTTAGGTGATAAAGCACATCAGTGGGAGAAGGGACTTCCAAAAGGCTCTATATCTACTTGGGATGAATGTAAGACAGCTTTCCTCAAAAAAAATTTCAGCTCCACCTGAACAGCAAAGCTGAGGAACACCATAAGCAGTTTCACTCAGCATGGGAATGCGACATTCGCTGAAGCATGGGAGCGTTTCAAGTCTTATACTTTGCAGTGCCCACACCATGGCTTCACAAATGAAATTTTGCTGTCTACTTTGTATAGAGGAGTGACGCCAATGTACAGGATGCTCTTGGATACAGCATCAAATGGAAATTTCATGGGCAATACTGTTGTAGATGGTCTAGCACTTGTGGAGAATCTAGCACTCTTTGATGGAAACTATGGTGAGGAGTATGACAGAACATCTAGAGCTGTTGTAAGCGCTGAAGGTGAGAGCACAACAAAGAAGGAGATTAAAGCTTTGAGTGACAAGTTAGACAAGCTGCTGAGTGTGTCTTTCAAGAATGTCAGTTTTGTTGGTGATAGCCTTGCTACACAAGAAGAGGATGGGACAGTATTAGAAGAAGAAGCCTTCTACATGAATAAACAAGGAGGCGGTTTTAACAACTACAGGAATCATCCTAACTTCTCTTATAGAAGCACCAACGTGGCTAACCCTTGGGTTCATGTCTATCCATCACAAGCTGCTCAACAAACCCAAGGAACCAAACCTTTTGTTCCTTTCAACCAGCAGAACAACTTTGCTCCAAGACCACCATTTCAAGGCGGTTTTCAACAAGCTAACTTTCAGACAAGACCAGCTTTTGTCCCACCAGGTTTTGGCAATACACAAACCTCTTCTAGCACTCAAGATGTTGATCTGAAGCAGATGATTCAACATTTGTTGACTGGTCAAGCCAACACCACTACTTGAAGTTTGCTGAAGTACAAAACAAGATAGACGCCACTACTTGTGACCTGAATGGAAAGTTAGATGCTCTGAACCAAAGAGTCAAGTCTGTAGAAAGCAAAGGAGCTTCATCTTCAAAACCTCAGAATCAGTTACCAGGATAGCGTGAAGCCAATCCTAAGGAATTCTTACACTGACTTGCTGAAGAGGATGAAGAGTTTGATGATGAAGATGCTTCATTGGAAGACTTCAAGAGATGCTGTTACATGTGGACATGTTAAAGGCTGAGCGTAAGGGGAATGTCATCAATGTCACCATTGATGATCAAGAAGCTGTTGATATTCTAGAGAAGTTCCTCCAAGGGCTAGATGAAAACTTGAACAGAGAAGAAGAGCAAGAGAGAGCTGCAAAAGAAGCTGCTGAGATGGAAGAGGCTGAGAAAGCCTTAGTTGCTCCAGAATAAGAAGCCAAACCAGAGCTCAGTGAAGCTGATAAAGAGCTTGTAGAGACATACCACGCTTTTATGGTCTTGGCTAGAGAAGGTTCTGAAGACTTCAAGGAGTTGTATGATCGCCAAGTGGGCAGCTCCTCAAGCAACAATGAGAAGGGTAAAGCTCCTGAAGATCAAGCTTTAAAACCACCAATCCCTTACCCCACAATGCACTTTACAAAGGCTCAGATGGCAGTCTATTCAAAGTTCAGGAAGGACATACAAGATGCTGAAATAAATCTTCCTCATGGCACCACTTTGCTTGAAGTGAAGGAATAAATCAAGTTCCTCAAAGAAGTCTTTGACAAAATGGAAGTAGTGGAGCCAATTCTAGAGAATGTGGGGGCTAATCTAAAGAGAAACAAGGAGCTGGAGTCATTGACAAAGCTTCCCAATCCAGGAAAGCTTCTCAACCCTTGTGAGCTTCAGATACTACACAATGTTGGAGCTTTGTGTGATTCAGGATCAATTGTGAATGTCATGTCTCTCCACTTAAGCCAAACCTTGGGAATCAAGGAGTTGAAGCCCTGCAAAGCCTCTATCACTTTTGTTGATAACACCTCAACAAGACCCCTTGGGCATGGTGAAGGATTTCCCTTTGAAGATTGGGAATTGCTTGGTGCCAACATATTTTGTGGTTATGGAGAAGACATATTCAAGAGAGGTGTCACTTCTTCTAGGAACACCATTCTTAGCAACAGCACGAGCTCAAGTAGACTTCAAGAGAGGCTCTGTGATTTTGAAGAATGTTGATGAGTTCAAAGTCTATAAGATTGTCTCTCCTTTCATAGCTTTTTGTGGAACAATTGCTGAAGAAGAGAGTGAGCAACAGCAACTTCTAGAGCGTGTGGAGCATGCTATGAGCTTCACAATGAGCATGCTGATGAGAGACACTCTCCCTGATGAGCCTGAATAGAAGCTTGACACTGAGTTAAAGCTTGAAGATGGCTTGAAAGAGGATGAAGGCTTGATCACTAAAGAAGTGATGCCTTTGATCACACCAAGTGTCAAGAAGAGGAGAAACAGGAAGCCAGCTCGTGACAAAAAGAAACTGATGTCAGTGGGCACTTGGATTTACAAGAAGAAAGAGTAAGGAGCATCAGCTCCATCAACCTCTTCTCACTAGTCTTCAAACCATCAAAGTCAAGCTTAGTGACTTAAAACAAGCATACTTGGGAGGTAATCCCCTGACTATCCTTGTAAATATAGCCCTGTTCGTTTGGCAGCTGCAGGTGGCAGCGGCAGCGGCAGTGGGAGAGCAGCGGTGGCGGCAGCGGTAACATTACCGCAGCTTGATGTTCGTTTGGCAGACGCAGCCGCAAACGCAGCCGCAGCCGCAGCAAATTTATTTTTGTTCGTTTGGAAGTCGCAGCCGCAGCCGCAGCCGCAGGACACAGCCGCAGGATACATAAATGTTGTTCGTTTTGCAGACTCTGCGACAAGTTTTCATATAATTCATATTTTCTTTTTATAAATTTGTATAATTAGATTTTTAATCAATAAAATATAATTTAAATATATTTCTATCAATAAGAAATATCATATTTAGTTAGTAAAAAATTTTAAGTTGAAGTTGAATATATAGCTATAACAATTTTAAACAACTTATTTTGTGATAAATCGTAGAATAAACTAAAATAAAAGTAATAAGCTAAAATATTTAACTGAAATAAAATAAAAGTACAACATCAAGTTATAAATAACCAAAGTTATATAAAAAAAATAATCAAAGACATTATCTCAACAAATTAATAAAAAGTCATAAACAAAGTTTTAAACAAAAACTTAATAAGGTAAACGACCTCTATTACATTCATTTGTAATAAAATCACGCAAAGTTTCCATCACTCTATCACCAGTCGGTTCATATGCAATATGTCCACCATGATCTTCATCACTATCATATTCTTCTTCTCCTCCTTCTCCTTCTCCTTCTCCTTCTCCTTCTTCTCCTTCTTCTTCTTCTCCTTCTTCTTCTTCTCCTTCTTCTTCTTCTTCTTCTTCTTCTCCTTCTCCTTCTCCTTCTCCTTCTCTTTCTGTGCTTTGCCAATGTACAAAATCATGATCTTCCCGATGTGAATCACGTATGAAATTGTGTAGTACCATTGTCGCTGTTACAAGCTTAATCCACTTGGTGAGACCATACTTTGGATGCTTGCGATCTAAAATCCTCCATTTTGCTTTCCATACTCCAAATGTCCTCTCAATCACTGATCGCAAACCTGAATGCTTTCGGTTAAACAACTCTCGTGCATTTACTGGTGGTCCTCCTCTAGCAAATTGACCAAGATGATATCGCATCCTACGATGCGGACCAAGATATCCTGTCCTAGTGGGATATCCGGAGTCAACTAGGTAGTACTTTCCACTAGGCGGATGTGGGAAAAAAGGCTCATTCCTCGCACAATGAGTCAAGACTTTTGTATCATGTGCTCTACCAGGAACACCGACATATGCATATATGAACTTCATATCGAAGTTACATATAGCAAGGACATTCATTGTGGGTTCATGCTTTCTACCTTTATAAGCTTCTGCGGTTTGCCTAGGGGGACGGACTGGGACATGGGTTCCATCAAGTGCTCCAATGCAATCTTTAAAAAAAGGCATATATCTATCATCATTCCTCAAAACAGGGTTTACTCTTGTAAACTCACCTTCTTGTGGTTTTAGCGTATCCGCTGCAAATTTGAGGAGAACACTCAAAACCTCATCAAGCTTCCTTTTCACAGTATCCAGTGACCGTTGGTACCTGTCGGCTATATCCCGCATAGTCTTGTCCTGACCAACCACCTCAAGAAACATTGCAACAGATTCCTAGACATAGACATTTTCTGACTCTTCTAATCCATATCGCCTAGTTAGCATCTTACATAAAGCTCCAAATGTTCTTTGATTCATTCAAAGAATGTCATAACACTGCTGATCTGATCCATTCATAAGTTGCTGAACATGACGCCAACCTGCTCCTCGATCTGTTCTATGACTCAATCTCTCAGTGGCAAGTGAATCTAGCAAACCAAGTTCATCATCATCATCATCATCATCACCTAAAATCCATCTTCTAACCATCTGCAAACACAAGATAATCTATCATTATTTTTAGGTTCAAACTCAAGATATTCATCATCAAAACTCATACCAAAAACACATTTAACAAAACATCATCATCATTATTTTCAACTTAACATTTAACAAAACATCATCATCATTATTTTCAACAAACGGTTCAAACATAAACATAAGTAATTCATCACCAAAATAAAAGACATGTTTAAGAGAAACATTCAAGCAAAATCAATCATCAAGTTTTGTTCCAGTCCTAAACTCCAAAAACCTAATCTTATCTTCAGCCTTAGGAAATGCTATAAACCCTCTCCGGTTCCCTTCATTATCTACAAGATGAGCAATTGCTGCTTCGTAAAATGCAGACCACATTGTCACTCCTGGCAATCCATTAAGTATGTCTAAAACATTCTCAACACTCGAAGCATGCTCACGTTCCAACATCTGTTCTGCTATTCTGTTCTTCTTATCAAGAACATCAGTCCGTTTCACAACAGCTTCTACAACCACATCTTTCTCTTTACGTCTTCGTTTTGCTCTTGAAGTTCCGGTCTGTGTTTGTGGCTGTGGCTGGGTTTGTGTCTGAGTTTGTGTCTCTATACCAGTGGCAACAGAATCAGCTTCATCGTCTTCATCTCCATCCACTCTAGAATTTAAACTAGCTTCTCCAGTTTGAGCGCTCCATCCTTCAGCTCCAGTTACCACTACAGCACGAAACTCAGCTTCAAACACATCCATATTAGCAACCAATTTGCCTTTCCATTTTCTAGCGTCAGGCCATTCCTATATAGCAAAAAAAACAAGATCCGGATCAGTGGCATTCAGCTAATCGTTAAAGCTAAGAACTATATGAAAAGCTTGAAAGAGATGATTACATTTATGCGTTCCTCCCACCAATCATCTGATATGTCCAGCTTTCCCATATCATCATACCCAATCCCGATCCTATTGTGAGTTAACATTCTATAGCTAGTGTATTTCTTTTTACACGAGTCATACTTGTTCTTGAAATGGTTCCATTTCTGATATCCTCTCTTAAATCTTGCTTCAAACTTCTTCATGATACAATCTTTCCCGGTTTTATTCATTCCTGTACTAGTCCTATTTCCTTTGCTTCTCTCATCCGCAAACAGTTGAAAAAAGTATCTAGTTTCTTCATCGGTCCAATTCTAGACGATGCATAAAAGACTCTACGATCAAAACCAAAACACTAAGATTAAAACCAAAACACTTACATCTTTAGACATCTTTCTCTAAACGCTGGGTCAAGTTTTGTCCTCTCCGTGATGACAAGACCCTGAAGAAACACAAGCAAACATAAACAAAGATAAGCGAAGATAAATGATAAAAGATAAGCGAAGAGAGTACATGACTCGGCAATTAACTACAAAACAGAGAGAGCACTAGTGATGACAAAACCCTGAAGAAACACAAGCAAACATATACAATAAACACCAGTAAGAAAGCAAATCTCGTTTTTAAATCAGAACGCTATAAACCAAAGTTTCCATCACTAACAATAAACACCAGTAAGAAGGCAAATCATCGGAAAAAGTCATAAGAGAAGAGAAGACTATAAAACCATAGACACCGTTATGAGGCAAGCTGATAAAACGAGACTATTATGACATCTTACAAGCTTTAATTGAACTGCAAAGTATAGTGCAATCATAAAACCATTTTAATAATCTAAGTTTATGCACTGTACTAGAAGAATCAATTAACAATACAGATAGCATAAATCGATGGAGATGACTAAGGGAATTATCAATCAGCTCATAAACACAAGGATTCAACGTAAACACAAAGATAAATCAACAACTTAAATCTCTTCTATTTGTATGCAACACAACTTAGATCTTCAACTACAATGAGAGGTACATACATTTGTAGAACAGAAACCAAAAAGTATTTGTTTCTGTTCTTAGATTGGATAACAAAAACAGATTAATCTTAGCATAAGTAAGTAATATGTATATAAATCATATATACCTTGAGAATATCAGCAACGACAATGTTTGGGCCACCAGAAGAGAAGGAAAGAACTTTTGGAGCTGTCTGATTAAAGATCACCTCACTTTTAAAGACAGTCGCTTCTGGGGAACTAAAGAATCAAACCCGAGAAAATGAGAAGAAAGAGAAGCATATACACAACAAAGCGTATGAATATTCAACAGAGAGAAGATTGAGTGTTTACTTTGCGGAGTTAATGTAAGATAGGACAGATAGCATAAATCGATGGAGATGACTAAGGGAATTATCAATCAGCTCATAAACACAAGGATTCAACGTAAACACAAAGATAAATCAACAACTTAAATCAACAACGTAAACACAAACATTAAGTTCATCAGATCAAAACATGAAGAAGAGAAAAACAATCACATATATCTCACATAAAAATCATCAAGACCCTGAAGAAACACAAGCAAACATTTACAAAGATAAGCGAAGATAAAAGCTAACTAACTAGACTCGGCAGCTAACTAGACTATCCTTCACATAAAAATCATCAAAGGAGCAAACAAGCATCACGAAGCACAGACACAAGAATAGTGATTTCTTACTTGTAGACAGGGAGACTTTTTATGTGAAGCAACAAGAGACAGTGCCAACAAGTACAGGGACGGTTTCAACGTCAAGCTGCATAAACATTAAGTTCATCAGATCAGAACATGAAGAAGAGAAAAACAATCACATATATCTCACATAAAAATCATCAAGACCCTGAAGAAACACAAGCAAACATTTACAAAGATAAGCGAAGATAAAAGCTAACTAACTAGACTCGCCAGCATACACAAAAGTAACTAACTAGACTCGGCAGCATACACAAACGTAAACTGAGAACTAAACTGAGACATGGTGGATGCTCAACAGCTTATACATAATGAGAGCTATATACACCAGCGAATACATACACTACTTGTATGCAACACGAACATAAGCATTTGTAGAACAGAAACCAAAAAGTATTTGTAAAAGCAGGGGAATTCGTTTGGTTCTAGCTAAGTGTCCTTATTGATTCTAGCTAAGCAATTCGAGAATCCAACCCAGTTCGTTTAAATAATAGAAGAAGAAAGAAACTACTTTAGGTGTAACTAGGCTACTAATGTATCTAGGACCCGAGTATTGATGCAGCGAATACATAAAGCAACGAGTACAGGAAAAAAAACAAAGTGATTTCTTACCCTTGGAAGCCTTAGAAAGCAACGAGTAAGAGACTGGGCCAACAAGTACAGGGACGGTCTCAACACCAAGCTGCATAAACATTAAGTTCATCAGATCAGAACTTGAATCTCACACACAAATCTCATACATAATAAACTAATCTCACATAAGACAAATATAAAATCTCCTACATCGGCTAAAGTCACAAAAGCGATACACAAACTCATACATAAGCTAATCTCACAGAAACTAGTCTCTAAGTAATCAAACGAAATGAACAGCGATACACAATAATCAAAGCTAAGCAGATCCATTCATCACAAGTTATAAGGAGTCTTGCGCAAGTGTAAACGTGAAACACAGAATACAAATTAGGACCATCTCGAGCCTTCACCATACACAGAATCAAATTCAAGTAACCTCATTTACCTTTAACTGAGAGATTCAAAACCCTTCAAAGAGAATCAAATCCGAGTATGCCGCATTTCTCACACAAGACTCTTAAGATCTGCAAACGATGGGTAAACATTCGTAAGATGAATGGGAATATCACTCGCGGAAAACAACTGAAACAGTAAAGGAAAAAGAGAGAGAGAAAAGTTCACCGAAAGCTTCAGTGGTTATTCGATTCAATGCCGAGATAGAGAGAGAGAGAAAAGAGCTTGAGCGGAGCTTAGAAACTAAACCCAGAAACCCAGAAATGCAAATGAACAAACCCAGAAATCTAATATAAGATCGAAGATGAAGTTTGAAACTTTTGAAAGAGCTGGGAGAAGAAGGACTGGTGAAGGCGACGAAGAGGAAATGAAGGCGACGAAGAGGAAATGATTTAGATTAGGTTTGATGGCATGTGTTTGTAATTTACAAATAATAATATGGGTAATTCGTCTTTTAATAATTTAGTCGCAGCAAATTTAGCCGCACCGCCGATTTTCCTTTGCGTCTAAAAATTTCGAACGCAGGTATCTGCGGTTGACGCTACGTTTAGACGCAGATAGCCGCGGCAATGAAACGAACATGAATTATTGCCGCCGACGCAGCCGCAAGTAGCTGCGGCTACCAAACGAACAGAGCTTGTATATTTTTTTTATTTACTAATGTCTTTATTTAGTGTTTCAGAAGTCAAAGAACAGGTCCATGGCTGTGTAGGATGGTTTAAAGGCCAAGGAAGAAAACTCTGTTTTCATATCGAGATACCATATCGAGCAGACATCTGTCATTGCTGCTCGATACAGCTTATCTCGAAGAAGGAGCAGTCTGTACACCGAGCAGGTCGCACGATGGAGATCACATCGAGGAGTAGCATCGAGCAAAACACCAAAAGCCTTGCTCGATGTGATCGCTCCTGAAGCCCCAGTCCGTACACCGAGGGAAGTGGACCGTACATCGACCAAAAATGCACGATGGAGATTACATCGAGGTGTAGCATCGAGCAAAACACCAAAATCCTTGCTTGTTGTGATCGCCAATCCGTACATCGTGGAGCTATAGCCCGTACATCGACAATATAGCTCGATGAAGTCACACCGAGGAGTAACATCGAGCAGAACATCCAAGGTTATGCTCGATATGGATGCTATCAGCCGACTCGAGCACAAGACGATGTTTGGTACGACGACCACCGATGAACATTGCAACCGAGTAGGAGACGTTCCACATCGAGGTGTATCATCAAGCAAAACACCAACATGTTTACTCGATGCAGGATGGCCGAGCCAAGAACAAGCATCCAGATGATGTCATGCACTGCCCACGGGAAGCCAAAGGATCATGCAAGCCGAAGTGTCTCCCTACACCGAGCAATAACATCGAGAGAACATCTGCTGAGACTGCTCGATGCAAGGTGCTCTGAAGGAGAAGCTGATCAGAACACGGAACCCCCGAGGCAGAGGAGCATGATCGCCGAGCCACAGGACCCGACGTCTCCAATATGGTACACATCAAGGTACTATATCGAACACTAGAGGAGATGATGAGATTTCTGACTCAAATGCTGCTGAATGAAACAGAGCTGAGGGAAAAAAACCAGTAGTTTAAGAAGAACAAGGCCAAGATGCAGCACCAAAGCTCAAGGACTTCTTGAGAGCGATGAGGAGAGTGGACTTCACTCCTTCAAGATATACTGATCCTGGTCTATTGGGATAGCTAGGAATCAAGACTGAGGTTGATGAACTGTTGAGCAACATTGGACTGGAGAAATTTGCTAGTCCTGGCTATCCAACTTACAAGCAACTTTGTTGTGAGTTCCTTGCAAGCTTCAAAGTCTACTTCTACAAGTTTGGTGAAGGATATGATGAATGAGAAGAAGACTTTGGCAATGGATTCATCAAGTTCAGAGCCAACAAAGCATGGTACACCATGGGGTTCACTCAGCATGAAGAAATATTTGGATTTGATCAAGGCTCAAGAGCACAAAACATGCGCTTCAAGCATGATGAGCTAAGGCATGTGTGGGAGGAGATAGCGAATGATGCTTATAGAGCTGGTCATCTGAAGAGTGCTAGCATCCACCATCCAGCTATCAGATATGTTCAAAGAGTCCTTACCAGCACACTCTTCTACAGGAAAGAGCAAAATATGGTCAAAGAAGAAGAGATGGGGTTGCTTGTGAATGGCTTGAAGAACATCATGGTTGAAACAAGGCATGGGATGATTCAAGGAGAGCAATTAGGAGTTGGTCTTGTGACAATCGTAATGAAGCATTTTATATCATGCCAACAATGGGCTTTTAACACAAGAGACAAGAAGCCTAAGATAGCTATTGGAGACGTGATCACTCCTATTTTTCTTGGAGCTGGAATTGAGCTAGGCACACCAGATGTTAGCATGAGCTTCCTTGATGTCCCTTATCTCAGTAAGATCGGATACCTTTCAGGAGCTGTTGAGAGAGGATTTGGCTATCAGTTTATGCTGGAAAAAAGGAAGAGGAAGATCATATTATCAAAGCAGCGCTTAACGAACTTCACCACCTATAAGAACATCCGATTCATGCCAACAGAATATGAGCTTTATGACCCAAGGACTGACCCACCATTGATGAGGCCAAGCAAGGCTAAGAACATGAGCACCATCAGATACTCAGATGTGGAAGAAGACATTGAAGAGCAGCATCAAGAGCAAGAGATTCAGCATCAAGGAATAGAGGAGAACGAAAATGAAGACTATGATAGCCGCTCTTATGCTTTTGACCCCTATGATGTGATTTGCACATCTGAAGCTTAAAAGGCTGCATATGAGCACATTAGGCTTCTTCAGAGGTGGAACCATTTCCAGGACAAGGCCATCAGAGGTTTGCTAAACACAGTCAAAGCATGAAAGAAATCGGTTGACTCATTGAAGAAGAAAGTGAGAAAGCTCAAGAAGAAGTTCGGAGGATCTACAACAGCCAAGAGAACTGATCAAGCGGCCGAAGCAGAGCCACAAGGAGGAGGATCTGATGTTGAGGACATGTCTGAGGACACACCAGAGACCACAGTCCAGGAGAGACACTCATTCCACATCAGAGACATCATCTCATGTAGCTGTTTCTAGGCGCAAAGGAAAGAAGAGAAGGGCTAGATAGCAAACTCCATCAGAGGAAGAAGCTTCACCCTCCCATGCCATTGAGCGTTCAGACTCTCACCACTCCTCCACCTGAAGGAAGGTACACCACACTAACCATTTTAAATACCACAAATTTGTTTTTTTTTTTAAGTTTCATGCGATTGCTTGCTTGATGTTTGTAAGCACTCTCCTTAGCATTTTTACTACGCAGGCACTATGTAATTTAATTGTGGGGGAGGGTGTATGATGGACTGATGCTTGCATTTGCATTTGTATATTAGAATAGGAACCATGCATCATATTTACATAGCATCTAAGGCATAGAAAAAACTAAAAAAAATTGAAAAAATTTCGAAAATTGCTTCACAAAAAGAGATTGATTTTCATGCATTCATATAGGACTAGCTTGCTTGTTTAAATTGGGAACTATAATAGTACATCTTTGTTAATGCTAGTAGTTGATGAAAATAAAGCCCTTGTTTTTAATCCTTTGGTGCATTTGATGTTGAACTAGAAATAAAGCAGAACCACTTTTATAATTTGTTTGTTTGAGCTTTGTTTGAGACTGAAGCATGCTTTGAAATGATTTCAACCTTTGTTTAAGTGGAACCTAATTTGAATTTGCAATTATCATGCCTTATGCATTTGTGATTGATGTTATGGATAGTTTAAAATATTTGGATCTTCTTATTCTCTTTTGCACCTCTCTAAAATATCCATTTAGATTTCCCGATCCTTAACTAAACCTTCTTTCAAGCCAAGACATTAATAGTGTGTGATTTGTGAGGCCTCTTTCCATCATGGTTGTTGCTTAGCAAAAAGTGTTGGGTTAGAACTACAAGGGAAGTATTCCCATTGTAGAACTAGCTCACTCTTGAGTTAGATAAGCTAGGACATTTGGGGAATGGTTTGCGATTTATTTTGGGATTACTTTTTAATAGAAGCAAAGAAGAAAAGAAGTCAAGGCACAAAAGAAAAGGAGTGTGACACAAGCAAGAGGGTGGAAATGGCGATTCTAAAATCAAAGAAAGAAGGCTCATGTTCAAAGAAGAAAAGAAGATGCAAGAAGTGCAAAACAAGTAAATCAGAAGGCCAAAGGCGAATCAAGCACCAGTATCACCAAATAAAGGAGCCAAACTCAAAAGAAGCAAATCGCCATCACTTGAAGTTCAAAAGAAGAAGTGTCCTCCAAAGCGCTTGAAAGAGAAGTGTTTTTTGGTTTTTAAAGGGGTTTAAATTCTTAAAAAGGGTAGCATAGGCTATAGTTAGGAACACATCTTATAGATCTTCGGTAGATGGGAGTCATCCTTTGTATGTGTAAGTTGTTCTTTGACCCTTAGCATTTTGCCAAAGCACAACCATGCTTTTCATTGAGAGAACCCTTTAAACACCAAACCCAGTTTGTGAAGTGGGATCATTTTTATTCCACTAAGCCTTGTCCCTTAGCCAAATGACACATTTGCATTTGCATAAGCATGATTCACGGTTTGAGCTTAATTGAATATTAAAAAGGTTGTTTGATTTGATGAGCATGTGTAGGTTGATAGCTTTGTGATCATTCTTGCTTTGTGATGAAAATAGCTAAGTGTTTAAAGTATTCTTACATCAAGTGCACTCTAGAATTAAGAACATGGACTTCATTTTGATTTATTGATAGCATTTTTAGAGATTTGAGTTCCCATTTAAAACCTCATCACCATGTTAAGTGTTTGTTTGCTTGAGGGCAAGCAAAAGCTAAGTGTGGGGGTGTTGATAGCTTGCTATTTTAGAGCATTTTAGGCTGCATTTCATGCATCTTTTCCTCTGTTTTTGCATTATAGTTTAGCATTTTAGTATCACATGCACTTAGAATCAACATGGCATGCATTTAGCTTAATATTGC